CCAGAATCAGCTGCTTCCAAATCAGCGTCCGTAACTTTCTGCTTTGAAGTATTCAGGACGTGCCTGATGGGAAAGCACCTTCCTTGTTTACCTGCTCAGACCCTCAGAGGCTTTCCCTCCGTGCCTTTCCAGCCATCCATTTTCTCCTCCTGCTGAGAGCTCCCCTCTAGGACCAAGTTGTCCATCACCAGCTGGTCTGCTCCGTTAACCACTTCCATCCCAGCCCTAATCCTGCTTTATTTACGCTTCTGGGGCCAGAGGTGGCTGCTGCCCCAGCATCTCAGCTCACCCCACAGGTGAGCCTGGGCTAAGCTCAGCCCCATGGATCTCATCCCCTCCACACCTCCCTGCTCTCCAACTCTTGTGGCAACACAGAATGGCCTTTTTTGAGCTCCCAGTTGGGGACAAGCCTGACAGGATGAGGACAGTCCTCTACCATGGCTGAGCAGATGGCGCGGCATCCTGGCCAAGCCAGCCCTACGGGAACGGGGCCTTCCCAGGTGCACAGAAACCTTTGGCAAGCTGAACATCCGAGCAGCAAATTGAAAAGCACAAAAACAGCCCTCAGAAAAGTAAACTGAATCAATAACACCGGTGGGTTTGAGAACAGAGCCCTGTTCTGAAATGCCTGAGGCTGGGAGCTACATCTCACCTCCAAGTCCAAATAAAATGGATGCTGGTAAGGTAAGGACCCCAATGCTTCCCCCCCATTAACAGTAAACACATTAACCACTTAACTCAGTTAATTCCCTCCAACAGTCCTTGTAATTAACAGCTCTTAACGTTTCACACCTTGAACTGCTGTCATCCTTTTTCTCCACTATTAAGACTTACTCTCAAGTTGTTCTGATATGTGGTGACAAATTTATGGGGAAGCTTTAACTGTTGATGTGCCATACTCTTCACACATCTCTCCCTCTTCTCCAAACAGCCTTTCTCCTTCCCAGCAAAAGAAGGAAATAAAATACAGTGGCAGTGAAACAGACTCAGTCTCTCCCTCATCTCTTTTCAGTTTTTATATAGCTTTAGTCTGGTTTTAACTTAGACTTTTCTAGATAATAATAATTTGGGTTGTTTTGGGAGGGTTGGGTTGCTTTAGATTTCGAATTTTTAAGTCAGGACCTCCTTCCACTCCTCCCAGCAAGCTCCTGCTTGCCAAGATTCCCCAACATTCGGTTCTTCAGCTCCTGCACAGGAATCCTCCCACCTGGAGCCCTTGGTCCATTTTCCTGTAGCCAATTCCTTGTGCCAGTGGGAAGGGCTTTCTGGAGGAACCCAAGTTCACCAGGTTTCTTACCAAATCTGTTCTCTCTTCACAGAGCACAGCTTTTACTGACTCTAGAGGTGCCTGGGCTGTGTGAGGCCCCCAGACACAGAGTGCAGATGAAGTGTAATGCTGAGCAGGGATGGGGCTGGCATCTGGAGGGTGTTAAAAAAGCACACAACATGATCAAAATTATTTTGGCATTCCTCTCTCAGACAGACATGACCCATCACGTTTATAGCACCTTCGGTGTGCACCTGCAAGGTGATAGTATCAGTGAGGGAAAGGAAAACATTAATTAAAATTTTGGTGCTTTTATATCTTGCTTTCCACATCAGCTTTACAGAGTGGATTTCAGTGCTGGGACAAAGAAGATATCTGCCTTATTTCCCTTCCTCCTCTCACCTCAACAGGCCACCTGTGTACAGGAATAGGTCCCTTATATTATTGTTTTATATCTATATGCGTATTTATCACTTCACAAGCTACTGACTTTACAAGTAGTCTGAGAAATGCTCTGGATAAGCCCACAATGACAGCTCAAGGCAGCAGTGATCCTTCCTAGAGAAACTCTGAGTTTATCTAGAACAGGACAACATTCACCAAGCCTCCTGCTCTCCCTGCCTCGCTCCCCCCTCCACCTAATTCCTACAGGGACCTCAAGCCCAAGCCTGCTCATTTCACCAAGCACAAAGAAACAAATCAAGAAGGTTCAAAGAGACAATACTTTCATTTTGGTATTACCTACATTTCAGCCTCAAACTCCTTTACACTAATCTGCTAATCCTATATAATATAGACTTCTCAAGAAGGGAGATCATGCTAATCAGGATTTCTGAAGGATTTCCACATGATCCTATATTTACTTTTGAACTCTGTCAGAGTCAGAGGGAATATGTCACCACTGAGCTGCTACTGCATTTTCTCTGGGTTATGAGACAAGGGCCAGCGCTGTCCAAATCTACAGCCACCAAAATGTGTCTCTAGCTGGCAAAACATATTTAGGATTATTTTTTTTCCCCATGGATGAAAAGGTAACTGCAACCATCTACTGGGAATTCCTGAAAGGCACAAACCTTATTTCATTCTCTCAGTAATTTCTTCTGTCACACCTGTGATTTAAAGATCTTTCCATTTTCCAAGTTATGTGTGTGACCTAGATGTGAAAAAAGATGTTCACGTCTTCAAGCAGCATCGAAACAAAATTGATAAATTCAAGCACTAAATGTATTAACTGGAGGGAAAGCAAGCAGAAATGAAGCATCACAAAGCCATCCAAGAAGCAGCAGAAAAGTAGAAAAATAAAAATCTAAGATGTGAAGCCAGAACAATCCCATTTTATTTGGTATTGACTAACAGTGCCATGTGATGAACTGCAGCACATACTGTTCAGCACAGGATATGCTGTGTTACATTTCTACTTTCATTGCGAGCTAGGGCTTTCAACTGAATCACCACATATGATGGTACAGATGGCAGAGAGGTGTTTTGCTGCAGCAGTTTAATATCTGTACAAGGGGGACTGCAAGTTTGCACCAGTCACTGAGTTTCCACATGTTGACATAATCAGGAACTCGATGCTGCATCATTACCCAGACGGAGAATGTTCTGGTTTAGAGAAAGCCGAAGCGTCGCGTGTTTATTGAGAAACCACAAGTGAAGTCTGCATCCCTGGTAAAATCCCACAGTGGCCAATAATCCTGCCCTTCTCCAGGGCTGCCCAGCAAAGCTCTGCTCATTCCCTGAGCTGCCCTCCCAGCTCAGATGCCATCTCCCTGCCCAGAAGATGTGGATCAGAGTCGCGTGGGAGCCAGCTCCAGAGCAAAGCTGCCTGCAGGAAAGGAGGGAGCACGCATGGCCTGGCCTTCAGGAACCTCAGCAAGAGCCACTGAGCACTTTGTGACCCACAGACTCACTGGAAAAATATAACTGCACATGCAAAAAAATATTATTGTGTGGGCCTAATCTACCACACAAGAAGGAATAACTGCAGCGGAGGTGTAAACTGACTTTGTGCGAGTATTTCATTTCCCAAAAAGACTAAAAAGAAAAACCAAAGCAAGATAGGATTTCTTTCTAAATGTGAGTGGTTTACTTTGTTTTGTCACTGATTTGCATTCCAGTTGTGCAGAGCAGGCTTTAGAATAAAAATACAAAAGGTGTTCTGCACCATACTCACGTGGCCATCCTGGGGCAAGTCTGCATCACCTCGTTCCAGATGTACAGGGACATATTTCATTCACAGGTGCACTTTTGCAGATTCCACTCCCCCAGAAAGGCCCAAAACCACACACAGTACTAGATTTCAGTGGCCAAAATCCTTTTTCTACCTTTGGGGCCTAAAACAGCCTAGAAGAGCTATTCTAGGTCCCACATAGACTCAATATCTGATTTATTTTTTTTTTTTATCTACGTCCAGCCCCTCCAAATTTAACCTGCTCATCACCAGCAACAAACTTCTATTCCAGATAACTGCCCTTACTACATTGGAAGCTTTGGTTTCTGCAGCTCTGTGGATTCTGAAACATAAAGAAAAAGTAAAATACTAAGTTTCTTGACAAAACGAGAAAAACATTAAATGTAATATGAGTTCACAGCTTGTCTTTTCGCAACTGCTCGGTACAGTGAGCTCAGCACCATGAGGAATTCCTTCAGAAGTGAAAATTATTTGCAAGTATCTTCTACCCATCCAGTAACTCCAACACAGACACAGAGCTGTTGGCACATTTTGGCTTTTTCAAAAAGCTACAAAACGGCAAAAGTCTGTACCTCCCAATTTTGCATTTGTGATTGCTAAATTTAAACCCAGCAGCGGCCTTGTTACAGATTATTACATAAACCAAACTGCTTATCCCCCTGCACCACAGTTACTTTTGACCTAACTAGGCTTAAAGCACATTTCTTGGCCCCACTTTCTGCTGTCAGCCCACAAGGAAACAAATACCCACAAAGAGAGGATTAAAAGAGATACAGGAATCCTTGAGAACAGGCAGGACACAGATTTGCTGCTGCTTTGTACCATATTATTGTTTTGGATTGTTCTGGGTAAATCAGGTGAGGGACATTTGGTCACACAAGGCCAAAGCTCTGTCCACAAAGCACCTTTACAATCACAGAAGTGCTGCTGAGTACTCTTACAGAAAGGTTTAGGTTTAAAGATTTAGGTTTTAAAGAAAGCTCCCCTTGCCTGCATGTTCCCACAACTCAGAAGATGCACTGGACAGAGAAGCAAAGGCTCACAACAGCACAGATTTATTTACAAACAGACTACAAACAGGCAGAGCAGCAGGCAACAGAAAATGAAAACCAAGGATAAAAAACTCCTTTGCACGAAATGGAAACAATTCTCTCAGGAACGTGCAAGAGGATAACAGAGGAAAAGCAAAGAGGAGACTTTCAGAAATTCAGGTGATTTTTTTCTTCCCTCTACACAGCTATTTTGGTGGCCTGTTTGATACCCTCTATGTAGCCCTGACACAGACATTGCAGACTCTGTAGCTCCTTCTGCATTCTCCTTCTCCTTCAGTATCAAAAGAATCAGTCACAGTCAGAATCCATCCAGCACTGGTTTAGCTTCACATGACTCAGATGCACTGACATATTTTGACACCAACTGATATTCTGTGGAATCACATTTTTTTCCTTTTCATCTATTAAACATGCCTCCTGTACTCAGGGAAGTATTACAACCAGTGCAGCAGTGGGGGAAGCATCACTGACCAAAGTCAATTCATTTATTTCAACCTGCAAATTTATTGTAAAACCTGTGAAGCACTGAACAAATATATCCACTAAATCAGAGGCAACATCAGAATCTCAATGTTCTTTGAGCCAGGCCAAGACAAAACTAAGCACACAAATCCTAAGAAACTGATAAACTCAGCTGTGGTGCAGTAGCTTAATTAAGATGTAAAAAGACACATTTGGGTTGATTTTGTTTGTTTTGTTTTCACCCTCCCATGTGCACTGGAGATGCGCTGCAGGGAGTACAGGACTGAGCAGACTGTGGTATGCCAAGACATAATGCCAGAGGAGAGCAGAAACACCTAATCCAAGTTACCAAAGGGCAAAAATCCACAATCCTGGTTGGTCAAAACCAGCTGCTCCCCCAAAAAAGGTACCTGTGTACTGGTGTCTGGCAAAGCTATCTTGAATCACCACCCAGCAAATCCCTACTGCACACGCCTGGCAGTGCTGAAATTACTTGACCACTCATTTCTACTTCTGTCCAACATTATGCAATCTTTTTGCAACTGCGGTGATGAGGGCAGCTCCCTTCCCACTGCCATCTTCAGAAAGCATGAAAGTCACATCACACTGAGGTGCCAGTTCCTTCACTGTTTCTCGCAGGACCCTAGAAAAACTGAAAGGGAAGGGAGAGAAGAACAGAAGAACATTTTAGCAGCTGCTTTCTGATCTGAGATCTTCATATTCCCCTATAAGCATGGAGCCATAACCTCAGCCATTGCTTCCTTTTGCTTTTTCTCCTATTCATGAAACATACAAACCTCTGTACACAATCAGATTCTCATTTTTATTTCTCCACCTAAATTTTGCTCAGCATGATGCCACACACTGCCCACACCTTCAGAGATCATGGAGGTTCTCTTCTCCCAACTCAAAAGCTAATGCACCTATTCCTAGACCTTGCTTACAGAATACTGACCCAACTCCAAAAACTCAAGACAGCTTTCCGTCTGGGAGACTCAGATATTGTGGAAATCTGCCAAAACATCTGGAAAATAAGTATGAGGTTCACCCAACATCCCAGAGAAAAGAGCCTTCCCAGTGGTAACTGGACTTTACAGTTTTGGATCCTATGGCTAGGAAAGGGAGATGACAAAATGCAGGGGAATGTGTTAGATCCTCACCCCCTCTCAGGTTTTTAATCATCTCAGCAGAAAGCTGGTACAGCTTGTTAAGCTTTCACAGTGCAAACGAGCAGACAGCAAAGGGAAAGTGGTACCAAGGTACTCACTGTGGATGGAGCTTGTACAGAGTCCCATCTACTCCAACAGTGATTTGCAAGCGCTCCACACCTCGGTTCTCCCTCTTCTTCTCCACAATAGCGGCCAGCCCTGCCCCACAGAGCCGGGCAGCTCTTCTTGACACAACTCCACACACCTCCTTGACAATGATGCTGTCGTCACAGGTGCTGTCCAGGCCGAGCTGCTGCAGGATGCGCCGCACTTGCAGGAGGGCAAGCCGGTCACTGCGCACGGGGAAGCACACGGGGCAGAGAGGTGTTAGGGAAAGCTCCAGCAGCTCCAAATTCAAAAGTGTGATGCAAAGGAAATGGGGCCACTTCAGCTCTAACACTCTCCAGGTCTTTTAAGGCAGATTTCTGTCTGAATTCAGATTGAAAAGCTGCTCCTGCCATGCCCTTTGCCACGTTAGGCTGCGTGTCCAGCAGGCACGAACAGCAGTCATTCATCTGACTGCCAAAGTCGTGAGGGAGCAGAACCAGGTCAGCCACCTGACTGCTACCTTAGATCTCAAGGCTGAGACACTCCTTTCAAGGCTTTCCACAGCAGAAAGAGTTTCAGACAGCCTAGAGACCATTGCAGTCATGCACAGATATATAGGTAAGCACATATTCATGTATCACTGACTTCTTGCTTTCTTAAATAAGTATTGTTTTAAGTCCCACAGAAACACATAGCTTGATGGCTAAGGCATCCAAGATAACCCAGCTGTGTGGACAGGAAATGATAATTTATGTAATTACAAAAATAATTCCGTAACTCCCCCAGTTTCTCATTTTTAACTTTTATTCTGGAGGCGGGGGATGCACAAAGGAGAAAACTATAACTGAATTAATAGACTCCTTGAAGGAAAGGGCTCCACACACTTGCAAAAGACTGTTTTCTAGGTGTCCCAGAAGACTTTAAGGATTTAAACCATGTAAATCTAACAACTTTACCTCTCAATCTGAGACAGGAATTTTGTTTCAAATATGCCTCTTTTCCTGAGTGATTCCGAAACGTGTCCTCTGAACAGCAGGCCTTGTTTGGTTAAGTCAATCAAAATTTGCCTTACTATTTCACCTAGGTACATTCCACTGGTCATTTTTTCATACCTGTTGAGTCAAAAGAGGAATAAAAATGTACATTTAAAGAGATGGCTCTGTTTAGCACTAGTAGTATGTACATGCCCTGTCAACTCCAAAAAATGCAGTCCAAGCTTACAGAGCAATAGCCATTAAACTCCATTTTTCAATCATCAAAAATCTCTTGCAGTGACTTCAAGGGCAAACATTAATTACCATATATTTACCTATGCCAAATGGTAACAGAAGTAGAAAAAAACCCCTTGCAATATTAAGCAGAATATAGCATTAAAGCCAGAGTCCACACTGAAGTGAAACTCCTCCCTGTCCCCACATGCATTCACCAGTGAGTTACACCTAATCAATCTTTGTCCAACAAAGAACAGTCCAGTTCAGCTTATGATCTTGCTTGAGTTGTATTTTGCCTTTGAAAAATCACCCTAAGAGAAGGAACAAAGCATGGCCTAGACTTTGCAGGGAGATCTTTAAAAGCTGCACTGTTTGGTAACACTTTTTCTTTTGTGGGTTGGTTTTTTTGTAGGGTTGTTTTTTGGGGTTTTTTTTGCTATCTAGGTTACTTATCAAGCAACAAAAGAAATGCAATATCAAATTTTCCTTTCTGATTATTCATTCATTAAGCACATTCTAAAAAGCAGCCAGTGTCTCTCAAAGACTGACTTCAGCAGGCTCTTGGCATCAGGACCATCACGTTTACCTCTGTTTCCCTGGGTTTAGTGAGCCTTCATCTACTTCTCTATCATATTTTGTCCTGATGTGGTCAATGCAGCCATTGTCACCAAATGCTCCCCATTCTGTATTAATGCACATCTTTCCTTCATTCCCTTCCACTATTTCTATGTTTTTCATGTCCTCCATGTAGCAAACATTGCTGCCTGTTCCTAGAAGGGAAGAAATGACAAGACTTCAGCTGGAAAAGTTAAGCAGCACCAGAAAATTATGGAAGATGATTGTAGTGTTCATCTCAACGTTCTCTTTGCCATATCTCAAATTTCAAGGTCCCTTCCAACACAGGCCATTCTAAGATTCTATGCTTAGATATGTTTCTGGATCAAAACTTGGAGGAACCTATTGGAGGAATCATCTAAAAAGCCCAACAAGAATTCATTCAGATTTTTAAAAATATTTTCTTGTTCCATGGTCTATGACCTGGCTACACAGTAACTTGTCAAAACAAGAATTCATGCTCTATCTGCTTGTGTTCTTTTACCCTGCATACACTTGTTAGACACCATCAGAGAGATGATCAAAAGTCCAACAGATTCATGAACTTATCTGCCACAGATGTCATTAAGTCTCCTGCTGAATACCACACAAATCTGCCAAGAACCCCAAGAAACGAATAACAGCATGTATCAAACTCAAAGAAAAGGTGTTGGTTTACAGATCCCAAAGCCCAGCTCTGCATAGGTGCTTCCTTCTCACCGTGGTCACTTGACCATCACTGTACCTGCAATAAGGCCAATCTCACAGTTTGGATCCTCATATCCACAAGTCATCATGGTCCCAACAGTGTCATTCACCACCGCTACAATGTCCAGGTCAAACTCCTAAAACACAAGTCACGCTCACTAGTGGAATGCCAGAGGAAGAGGGAGGGTGCATTAAATACACCAAAAATAAGCAGAAAAAAATAGCTCACATTTCTTCTTCTGATGGCCTCTCTTAGCATATCAACAACATCTTCCCCCTCACAGTCTGTTGCCTTGAATCCTTTTGTCCATCCCACAAGTGTTCCCTGAAACAGAAGAGAAAGAAAGTCCTAAGTGAAGACAAAGAGCAGGCTGTACATTGCAAGCATCAGCTTTTTCTTGCCTCCCACCCCAATGCTTTTTTTTTTCTTTTTTTGTTTTCAAATAACATGTTTCCCTGGACAGGTTACTTTGGATCTCTAGTGCAGGCTGTGTGCACATTTATCAACTGCTGAAGGTAGTGGCTCCAAGTTTATTCCACTCAGTACCTTCTAAATCTCACTTGGGAAACCTCATCTCACCTCTTGTGCACACAGCCACTTTTTATTACCTGTGAGGGAAAGACTGCAAAAAATACTTAAATGCCATAAATCATGAAACACCCATCAAGCATTAATGAACGTTTGTTAATTGTTGGATCGTTTACTGAAGGACATTTGGGATGATCCCACAACTCCAGGCACCACTAATTTGTTTCTTTTCAGACAACGACCTGGCCTGACAGAAGTTGATTTCCAGGTTACCTGAATTAGTTTTACACTTCCTAAGTGGCTCTGGACTGTCTGTCCAAATAAGAAGAAAATTAAAAAAAAAAAAAAAAATAGAAGACAACTGGGAGAAAAAGCTAATATTAAGAAACACCCTCAAGTTCTAGCAACAGCAAAAGACCAAACACACAGAGCAACATATTATGGGACCCTGACACAGATGTGTCTCACTCAGTTTGACACCAATGATGTGGAATTTGCTTCTTAATCATTTGTCAAGACCTAAATGCTAAGCTGTGGGTGCAGAAGGCATATGAATTCATGTCTCCACAAAAGGCCAAGTCCTGTTGGTATACTCTCAACTGTGAGCTGAAAATTGAGACAGAGCAGACTAGCTTCCAGGCTTAGAGGCTATTGTGAACCCCACCAGGACATAAAAACATTCAATAAAATAGCAGTCTCTCATTGCCCCAATATCCTACATATTTGACTAGAACTAAGCAACACAACATCCCCTGCCCTTCTTGGAAATTCCTAAGAATAATCTTTCCTTACATAAGATCTGAAGAGATAAAAGGTATGATATCTGTCAAAAAGCCAACTCTTCCAAGCTGAACAAGTAAGTTCAGGTCTGTCCACTGACACTCAACAAAAAGAAGTTAATGCAGTGCAGAAGTTACACAGTCAGAGCTGTGCAGCACACCTTGGAAAACAACCTGGGGTTGTAGCTGAGCAAGCAGAAGGAGCCATTTGTTATCTCATGCCATTGAAGAGTTAAGGATATTCTTGGGTTATTAAAAATAAGCACTTCATTTTGCTGTCGTGAGGGCTTAAATCTTTATAGAACAAAAGCAAGTCATGTCCACCACTTTACCAGAGACAAGAAGTGAAAATTCTGCCTCCCATAGGCAGATGGCTAACACAGGAGGATAACTTTCTCATGAAACACAACTAATTTGCAAAGTAAAGTAATAAATCCTCCAAACCAACAAGTCACCCTTGCCCAAAATGATGTCGTTTACCAAGCAGATGCAGAGCTGCCATCTGACCCATCCTGTGCTGCAGTTCCTACCTTGTCAATGCTGGCTTGCCTGCAGGGGAATGAGAAGGTGAAGCCCAGAGGAAGCCGAGCACCTTTAATCCCCATGTACTCCAGAAAGTCTGCTATGCACTGGACAATATGGTCAAAGAGCTGGAAGGAAAGAAGAAGCATATAAATCTCACAAATAATCCCATACAATGGGCCTTGGCTGGATCAGTTAAACATTCATTTAAGATTACCTCTTCTCCAGTCCCTTGCATGATCTCCAAAGGAATGGCAAAGATTTTGTTATACATTTGCACTGATCTTCTTCTTCCGCTTTTGATTTTGACCAGCAGAACCCTGAAATTTGTGCCACCAAGATCAAGGGCGAGGAACTTTCCTTTCTCTGAAGGAGAAGAAAGGTATTTCATTTTGGTGCTTCAGAATGACATGCTGATGGTAGCACACCGTTCCCTGTGGCATTTATCCCATCAGGTCTACTATCATGGGGCTGGAGATAACAGATAACACAGCAGGAAGCACCGGTTTGACAACATAAATCCTCCTGGCATGTGCATTAATTAGCATTAATTAATTAGCATATTCCCTCCCCCCCTCCAAAACAGACAAGCAGCTTCCCTGAACCAGGTGACCAGGAACTGACTTCACCTGTTCCATCTGGCGTCCCACACACGTACGTGGGCAGCATCTTCACCGTGGCGTCGGCTTGCGTCTCCCTCTTCAGCCCGTATTCCAGCTCAGCCCTCATTTTGTCCTTCACCTCTTGGAGGGTGGCCAGGGGCAGCAGGAAGGGTGCGAGCGTGGCGTCGATGCGCCGGCGCTGGGTGGCCAGCCTGCGTGCCACCGCCGTGACCATGGCGGCCCCCCGGCCGCTGCCGCTCTCCGACAGCAGGAACCGCACGTCGCACGTGGGCACCAGCCTCCTCACCACCTTGTGCAGGCGTTTGGCGTATCTAGCAGGGACAGAGAGGCTCTTTAGGCTCTCACAGGCCTTTGGGGCATGGTTTGCTTCATCTCCCTCTGCAAGCAGACCTCCAGCCAGTTTGGGAGAATAGCTGGAGAAAGTTTCACTTTTAGGAAAGCATGGGTTCAAAAACAGGGAGGTAGTGGAGGGAGAAAGACAGAAAGGAAAAAACCCACAGTGAACTGCAAGCGTCCTAGAGGCCCAGGAGAAATCAACTGAATTTTCTCTGACACCATTACTCCAGGTATCATGTTTTACCAACTCCACTCCAAATTCTAAAGCTGCTGGGACAGCTTTCCAATAACTAATCCAGTTAGATCTCACCCCAAAGCTGAAACGAAACCAGCAGTTCTCTGCAAAGCCACACACACATGGAGATGGAGGCTCTTCGCAACAACAACATACGGCCAGCAATTCCCAAATCCTCTTTAGTTACTCACCTGGGGTGGGTTTTATAGAGTCCCCCATCAATCCCGACAGTGGTTCGCATCCTCAGCAGCTTTTTGTTCTCCCTGAGCCGGGTCAGGATGGCTGCCAAGGCGGCGGCACAGAGGTTGGCTGAGCGGAAGGAAACGATGGTGCAGACGTGCTGAACAGCAACACAGTCCTCCTCAGAGGGAAACAGGTTCAGCTCCGTAAGGATCTCTTTTGTGTTGCTCAGACCTTCCTTGTACCTAACCCCAAAACAAAAGAGTATGTCACCAAATGCAAAAACATATAAATCAATGTCTTGGCTCAAAAAGAAATGAGAGGAGACCACGACACAGCCCATCAGACAGCGCCATAATTGGTTCCCATATAACCAGTAATGTGTTTCCCACAGCATTCCCAAAAGTACCCAGGAGAGAGAGGCTGCTTCCTGGGGTTCAGCATCTGTTGAGACCACTTAGTCAGGCAAGAAGATAAGGGATAAAACAGTCCAAAGAAGGAGAGCTCAAGAACAGATACACAGCTTCACTCAATACAACAAAGAAAATAATTCCTGGAGTGACCATGAGGAGCAGGATTCCTCTTTAAGACACCAGAATTCAAGTTTTCCATGCAGTCATCCATTAGCTGATCTACAATCTGTACTACAGCTCCACAGCCCCAGTATTCCCACTTCAGAGAGGCTGAAAACTGCAGCAATCATCCCACACACTCAGGTCTCCAGAGAGCTTATTTAAACAACCTGCATCTGGGATGCTTACCAATATACTCACTACTGTGCAACTAACTGCTTGCTAAAACTATCTTACACCAACTCCTGCTTACAGAAAGGTCAACTTTTCTCCTAGGCAAAAGCAAAATCAAGATGAACAGTTCAGGATTGTTCCCAGCACTCACAGATTTTAACTACACTTTCATTATCACTGCTGTGCTTCTGAAAGACTAAATTTGAGAGTGGCTACTCTCAAAGAGCGTATTACAAGTTCTTACTTTTCCATTGCAGACACGTGTTTCATTTCAATCTTGCCCTTAGTAAGCAGAGCTGTTGACACTTTCCCATTGAAGAGCAGACCTTGCTTTGTCATTTTTAGGAGAATGAGTCTTACTAGTTCCCCCAAATACAGGCTGCTGATCATCTTCTCAAACCTGGAATGGAGCACAGGAAGGATTTCAGGTGTTCACCAGCTCTTCTTTTCAGCCCTCCACAGCATCATACCAGAGCAACCTTCTGGTTTTAACAACACATGAGCAACTGGAGCAGCAATCCCTTGGCCTGAAGCAGGGAGGTGTGAAAAGTACTCATCCTTCCCAGAAGGGAAAGATCTGGATTAGACAGAACCAGCATCAAATCACCTCAGGTTCACTTAAGACAATTCCTGTTCCAAAGGGGCTCTTGGCAAACACTGGAAAAGCACTTTGAGAACTCAGACTGCAAGTCAGTCAGGGAATCACTTACAATTGTTTTCCAGGATTGAGAGATCCCAGATCCAGCTCCCGATCAAACTCTGTGCGGAGATCATCCAAAGCACCGTCATCTCCAAAGGCCCCCCACTCCGTGTTAATGCACATCCTCCCTTCATCCCCTTCCACCAGGTTGATGTGCCTCATCTCCTCCATGTAGCAGGCATTGGTGCCAGTCCCTGTGGGTATTGGATAAACTGCTGTTTGTTCCATGTGTGCTTTTTAAGTCCACATGTTTGGGAATAAATCAGTACATTGTCTTTGGAAGAAAATACAAACACGTAACCGTGTGGCGCAGGATGCTGGTGTAGGCCACCTGCACCTGTGAAATCATCATTTCACAGTGAGAGGAAAAAAAAAACAACCTGAAATTATTCTAAGGCTTGACTTGTTTAAAAACATGTTTTCTTTTTCGAATGTACTTCGGTGTGCCTAATAAAAGGCATCATAGTGCATGAAATGGAAAAACTGTGGAAAGCATAGCTGGTACTAACTACCAGACGTGAGGGGAATTCAGCTTTCTCTGGACAGACACAGTAATTTTCTATACAGTCAGCAGAAAAGTTTCGTATGCTGGTCACAACTGAGCCCAGACAAAATGGGGACTGTGGTATTTAACAGCAATGTGATCAGCATAAAAACAGCTGCTTTACAGGGGGCAGCCAGGCTTGAAAATCCAACCATTGTTTTTTCCATTTGCTTTCTGCTCTTTTCCTGTATTGTGAAACTCCCTCCTACTTCAGATTTGTAGTAATTCAACAAACAAGAGGGGAAAAACCCTTCATGGTGAACAGAAAAAATTACCAATTATGAGTCCAACTTCACAGCGCTGGTCATCATATCCACAAGTCATCATGGTTCCCACCGTGTCATTGACCAGCGCCAAAACATCAACATCTATGTCCTAATAGCATAAAGATGAGTGATTAAGAAGGAAAAAAAAAGCTCAGAAAGCCTCCTGTGTGATAAAGCACCACCATGCAGACATACTCCTTGGGCTGCACTTTGAAGGCTTCATTCAGGAAAACTCCTCGGTTGGAAGACGCTAATTCCTTTTACAACATTCTTCCCACAGCCCTGTAAGGTTACAAATATCTCTGAATTCTCAAGAGTTTCACCAGCCTCTTTGCTTGAAGGATTTGTTTTTCCACAGTCCCACCTCATTTGCCAGAAAAGTGGCATGTTACTGGCGTGAATGTTGTGATACTGTGCTTATGGGCTGTGTGAAAGGATAACATCCCACCACCTGAGCAGATCCCACCAAATGGGACAGGAAACACACAAAATGCAGCTACAGCTGTGCAGCAATACCACACTCAAGTAAAAAGCCCTTCCATCAAGGCTGTGCGGTTTTCCTTTCACATTTATCAAAGGATTGTTGCAACTCAGATGCCAACACCAGGAGGAGGCCACACTTCACCCAGGAAGCCTCAGATCCTTTGTTACTAATAACTACAAGACTGATGATGAAGAAAAAGAAGTGAACCAAAATCAAGGCTGGATTTTTACCACAAGAGAAAACAGAATTTCCTCTTTCCTACAAAGTGATCAAGATATGGAAAGATGCCTTGTATTTCTTAGCTGGTGTTATCAATAGCATCAAACATGAAAAGCCAGGCTTTCCAAAATAATAAAACACGGTGTTATTCAAAGGTTAGATGCTAGTTCAAGGCCAGATTTAATCATGTCTTACTGCTGACCTTAAAAATTGTAATCAATGGCTCCATCCTACAGACTGGACAGGCTAGCCCTGGTAGAGGTAAGTGTGCCAATTTGAGATGACAGTTTCCCCCTACCAACCTCCATCCCACAAGCCAGGCTGTGAAACACAGTGTGTGAAATTACTGAGTGTTTTATACCTCACCCAGTAGTTTCACAAGAGATTCCCTTGGGGCTGAGACAGTGGGGTGGGTGAGCTGTCACAGCCAGCCTGGGTTATCAGCTGGCAGCTGCCCTTGCTGATACCGGGGCAGTCTGAGTTAGAGCTGCGAGAGAGATTCAGATCTACCAGATGTACAGGCATGCTGGGCACTTGCTACTGACCATCCCTGGAGGATGTCTGACAACTCTCAAAAGAACCCCCACACCAAGAGCTGATTTCCCAGGAGGATGTTCTGAGGCCATCCAGGCTCAGCTCCTGCAGGTACAAAACTTGCCTTGTGCTTCTGCAGGGCCTTGCGCAGAGAGCTGACCACATCTGTGTCCTGAACTCCTCGGACCCTGAAGTGCTTTGTCCACGCAAGAAGAACCCCCTGAAAAGTAACAGGGCAGTGACCCAAAAGCACACAAAGCTTAGCACACAAACTACAACGCCAGTCAAGACCAAAGTGTGTGGAGAAGTCCACTATGTCTCTCCACACCATAAAACTGAGCCAAAATAGAGCAGAACATCTTACCTTGGGGTGCCTGTCAGTACCAACACAACCAAAAGGGTACAGTCATAAAGTCCCAGTTCTGTAAAAGTTTCTCCCTGTGCTTCATTTAAAGCACATGGGGCTTTCCTATGCTGATCACAATCTACTAGCATAAAGCAAAAAAGCACTTGCAGGACTGGAACCCAAACACAGAAATAAGAGAAGCTAAGATGAGAGAACACAAAATAATTGCAACCAGCCCTTTGTTTCCCCAGGGGGTGTCTCAAGCAGCTCAACCACAGGTATTTCCTATTCAGAATTAACTGTAAATAATAAAACCTGAGAGTGATTAAAAAAAATAAAGATACTTCAAGACACAAAAGGACATGTCTGCTTCTAACAGTGTTAATACAGTAGCACATGGTTCCTGTGGAACTGGGTACTGATAAAGCAATAGAATAGCTTTAGCTTAAAGATCATGCTGCCTTGAGATGAGAAATGAATGGCTGAAGGGTAGTCTAGTTAAATGCCAAAAGTCACCCATGCCTTCTTTAGAGAGCTGTGTAAACATGACCCCACATAAAAGCCACAGGGTAATAACACCCGCATTCAACAGCTTGTCCAGAATCTGCGAGGAGCTCAGCTTGACAAGAGCATTTCTTTATGCATCTTACCTCTTCCAACTTGGTCTGTTTGCATGGAAAAGAAAATGTAAAGCCAAGAGGTAACTTCTTATGCTTCAGGTTTTTGGTCTCCATGAAGTCTGACAGACAGTCAGCAACGTACTCAAAGAGCTGCACAAAAAGAGAGCACATTTGGGCTGTGTCCCGCAGGCGGGTGTGCCAGCACAGCAGCAGCACAGCAGTGCCCTACCTCGGCTCCGTTGCCCTGTGTCACCTCCTTGGGTGTGGGGTAAAACTTGCTCTCCAGCAGGCTGCTCTGCTTCCCATCATCGAACACCTTCACCTGGTGGGCACGAAACTGGGAGCCACCCAGGTCGACAGCGAGGAAGTCACCCTTCTCTGCAACACAAGCGGGCAACCATCACTGGGGATGGCCACAAAGAGTGGCTCAGCTGCCAGGCTGATGGCCACAGCCCAGGGCCCTCCCTCACCACAGCCACAGCCCTTCCTGCCCCATCATGGCAGATCCTTATCCCAAGGGCCTGGGAGCATCAGCAAGACAGAGCTGGAAATTCAAAGCAAGGCTATCAGGTCTCTCCTTTCCGCTTGCTAGGTAATAGCTAATTTAATTTTTATTTGGCTGTTTGGGTTTGCCTACTCTGCTCCTTCCACACTGCAGAAGGAGGAGCTTTTCAGCAAGAAAGGCCCAAAGCAACTGCAAAACCAACCAGAGCACACAGAGGCTGCAAAACTGTCACCTGAAATGTGGAACAATCAGAATGTGAGACCATTACCTGTATCCAGTAGAGGATGCAGGATTTGCAGGCATATGTTAACTCAGCTCTAGTGCGAAAGTCAAATTCCAAGTGGGGCAAAGCTAATTTTCTACCCAAAATCAACCAGCACAATCCTTTTCAAATGTCTTTTGGTGTTTCTGTGAGAGTACCATTTTGTTTCACAGGCTTGCTCAGACACACATCTCCAGCAGCAAACCTCAGATGGAAGGACAGCTTGGCCTCACAGCTACAATAAAGCAATTGTTTATCCCATACACAGGAAAATGCCCTTCCCAAAAGGAAAACACAGTGGTATGTACCTAGCCTTGCATGATCTTTGTTCCACAGTCCAAACATGTGATTAAATTTTATTAAATCTGGTCCTGAAAGGTAAGGAAGCAGGAAATTCTACCTGTAATACCATGGTCAGCTATCAAAGGTGAGGAGGCATACTGGGTTACTCAGTAAACTGTGACATTAGTCAGACCATTAATCCCTAAACAATGAAAAACTGAAGATGGCCTATATGAGTCATTTCAGGCAGCAACACTGAGGGCACTAAAATAATCTCAAAGTTAATTGCAATTGCAAATGGGGAATAACCATCCAAGTTTGAGCTGTTTAAACATCCTGGAAGTTTTAACCTGTCTGGAAGCAAAAAAAACAACAAGAACTTTTCAAGAGAGCAAATATAGAAAAATCTATGTGATACTTAGATTAGGCAACGTGTCAATAAGATACAGCCCAGCTTGATGCTGCAGCATGTCCCTGACACATTGGAAAGGCCACACACAAAGGCCAGGAGAGCACTGTCCAACCTTGGCCTTGAAGAATACTAACTCTTGCAACACTGATGACAATCTTCCTGCAATCTTCCAAGTCTCCTGGCCTCAGGGGCTCCCTGCTGTTCCAGGACAGCAGCAGAGCCCATGAGACCTCAGGACCAGTGACTGTCACTGACATTGCAAGGGTTAAGAAAGTACTTCTTTCTCTCTGACGAAGTTAGCAGCAATGGAAGAGTGCCCCCTTCCATCCAGTCAGCTTGTGTATATTTTCTCTCAGACATGCCTCATTTCAAGGGACTTGCCTTCAAATGTCTTCTTTATGCCATTGAAACTGTTATTCCTCATTTAACTGCAGGAAAAATACCTTCAGAAGGAATGAAGTCACGTGGACACGAGGTACAAAGCTAACATTTTGGTCTTCTGCACAGCTTGTTTACACCACTGTGTCTGACCTAGACCAGACATAAAATCCTACACAAATTAACTTGGTTAAACCTGGGAAAAAAGTAATTTTCTCTCAGGTTGCACTGCTAGGAGCCAGCTGAGGACTTATTTTGTATGTGCATACCTCTCCAAACAAGATGGGCTTTTAGTTCCTATCTCACATCACATCCTCCCAGAGGACATTACTGCAATTTCTCCCTCTCTGTTCAAGTCTCAGCTGAAGAAGCAGAGCAGTTTCCTGGTAGATCCCATCCAGAAGCAGATTTTCCCAATGAGAAAGGCAAGAAAGGGCAGAAGGGATCACTTTTTGGGGAATTTGTAAAATTTGTAAGTGCAGAGTTTGGGGATCGCAGCTCTGAGCATTCTGTGTTGCTGGCAATTTGAGGGGTTTCACTGCAGCATCCTGCCCTCCCTGTAGCTCCAAGAAGGCCAGGCCACACATCCCACAGCCACAGCACACTGCACTGCAGGCTCTGAGCTGTAGAGGCTGCCCTTGCCATGTCCAGCCACAGCTCCTACAGCAAGGTCTGCACTCAGATGGGAAGAGGCTGTTCCGGAGCACCAAGTCCTTTCCTCAAACAAGCAGCACTAGGTCAAAATCCACTGGGTGCAAGGGAAAAAAACCCACTCTGCCAGCATTCCCCCAGGCTCAATACACACACACACGTGCCTTCTCAATGAGACAGGCAGTAACCCAGAGCCACTGGCTGCCCTGTGTCTCTGCTGGGCTCTCCTGGAGTCCTGGCAGCAGCTCACGTTGCTGAAGCAGCAGTGCTGTGCTGGAGCAGGGGGACTCACCTGAGCCATCGGGCAGCGAGCGCACGAACGACGGCAGCATTTTCACAGTGGCCGTGGGGTTTGTGTCTCTGCCCAGGCCCTTCACCATCTCAGCCTGGAATCGAGCCATCACATCCAGCAAGACATCGTCAGAGAGGCGCAGGTGGTACAGGTACCTGTCAACCTGCAAAGGTGGAAGGTGTTACTCAAAGGCATGCAGGCTCCTTGGTGCTCTGCATTCATCATTTCATTTCCAACCTCAGCACCCAAGATCTCGTGGCTGGCAGTGCAAGCAAGTTCCAGGTCATCATCAGGACAGTCACTCTTCTAAAAAATATTCTGTTTTGAAAATGTTTAACTCAGCCTTGGTGAATTGCTGCCCAAAAGTTTGCCATCTTTTCTGATGGCTCAGTAACTTGACAATCTATGGAAGCTCATGAGATTTGCTTGAGGCCCTGACAAGTTGTTTTCACACCATACTCTCCTGGTAGAGGTGTAATGAACTAGAACTGCAAAGTATCTCAATCTGGTGAGAATTTGACCTCTCTGAGGCAGGTCCAGAAAATGCCATCAGTACCCAAGTGTGTCAGCCACAACCCAAAAACATCTATTCAGCTACTGCTTCACTCCACAGACAATTAACTTTGTTGGCATGCCAGGCTGGAACTCAAAGCCTTTTTTCTCACTCCAGCTCTGCTCTCCATTCTCTTGTGATTCTAGGATTACATCTAAAACACATTTTTGGGTGCAATCAGTACCCTTTGTTAAAGGTCTGCAACTCACAGAATACATCAAAATAGAAGCCAGTTGAATATAAAAGAATTCAAAAGTAGCTATGAAGCAGCTCATTCAGATACACTGGCAGAGAAGCTAATCAGTGGTTATGACCAGCTTCATCATGGCAAAGTGAAAGGTTTTTTTTCCTTAAGGACCATGGGACTGACACTTATCTGTGCAGGGTTATAAGTAGTGTGGCCTAGAAACTACATAGCTGGATACAACAAAGGATTAACACAGGAAAAAAAGGGCATCTGTCAACATCCAGAAGCTTTTCCACTGGGCAGACTTAACATGATCCAGGCACAATAATTGTGTGCTCCAAATAGCTGGATGTCCCCTGAAGGGTAATTTGTTTTCACATCCCACTCCCCAGTACATGAGACCAGAGGAGGTGGGCAGGGGAGAGAGGTGGGCCAGCTGCCAGTGCTTTGCTGCTGCAGACACTCAGCTGTTGCACCATGGGCTATGTTGTTATGGTGATTTATCAGTCCAGGGCATTTCATCACTCCCATTTACACAGGGAGGTCAGGAGGGTTGGAAGGACACAGACCAAGTCTCATCAGCAATATGGCAGGATTTAAAAGGTTGCATTGTTTAAACAGAGGGCAATGCAGAGTGTAGATAAATTGGTCTTTGCTGCAATTGGGATTTGCCACCTGTTTTAATGAGGCACAAGCTAATTACCTATTCACAGTCCCGTTTTAAACTGATGGTCAGCAGTGACCCACCTGAAAGAGCCAGGATCCTTAAAGTCACTCCAGCCCTCACTGAACACACACAGAGGAGAAAGTGTTAAACTACAACATACAACTGTCCTAGAGCAGCAGCTGCCTTTGGATACAGCTGTGCCTTGAAAAGGCCATTATTCAGATTTGTCTTCGTAGCCCTTGTTTGCTCAAGCATTTGATTTCCTCCAAGGATTTTTGAGGCCTCACCACTGTGTAGGATCCATCATCTTAGCCTGTGCACCTGTACTGATTTTTTGAAGAAAATACAGTGACAGGAGACATACAGCACTCATGCACTCTGACACAGACCCAAACAGCCTTGTGACAGAAATCCCTGGAGGGGAAAATAACCCTCAAGAGTAATATAAATTACTGTGTCTGCTTGCAGAGAACATGCACTAGCTCCCTGCTGTCCACAGACACTGCATTCCCCACCCTGTTTACCCACTACAGGAGCAGACAGTCTCTCCAAGGAGCTAGATAAGGCAGAGCCCAGGAAAGCCTGCTGGTTCTCCAGCCTGATTTACAACCAGAGCAAGGCCCTGTTCTCATAACCATTTACAGCACAGGAATGGCCAGGCTGTGCTAAACCAGTGGCTTGCCTCATTTATGGAAATTGCAGTGTTTTCACAGCAGGCAGGCTCTTGGTTTTGCCACCACAGAGTAAATAAGTGTGGGGAGAGAGAGGTAGGAAGATATTCCTTCTTTCCAATAAGGGAGAAATCAGTTCTGTTCTGTACAGTCTGCCCTAGGCTACTTAAAAGAGAAGTCTGAGTAGCATGTGGTTTCTTGCCTTCAGGAAGGGCTAGTTTGTACCTTGCAGAAAGACTTTGATTTTTTTAATGGGTTTGCCAAAATTCCTCTGCTCCCTCATCTCCACTGTCCTCACTTAACCGCAAGCTGGATGTTCTTCTGCAAAGCCCACTACATCCAAGCACTGCTCCACAAGGTCTTTTTCTTAGTAAAAAGAAAGAAGAAATAGTACTGTCTAGTAAGAGATGAGCTCCTCACAGAGGAAAAGCACAGTGAGGCCTTTTTCTGATCACATTAAATCCTAGGGATAAAAGGGTATGACTGAGTCAGAAACACCTGATTGCCGAGATATCAGTACCTCTCTTGGAATGCCTCTCTCCACAACAGAACTAAGGGAAGAACTCTTCCTTGGAACAAGCCACTCCACTCTGTTTTGGGCAGAGAGAGGAGAACCCAGAGTGGCTCACTTTGCTGATGAGCTCAGTGATGTAAGCAGATCTATGCACCAGGACCTTGGATCTCCCACCATGCATCCGCAGACAGCCCCACCTCCTGCTGACTGGAAAAGCAGAGGACAGAGCCTGGCAGCACTCAGTGAAGACATCAGGAATACAGAGGGGCCCACAGGGGAGACATGTCCACAAACCAGAGGACCTCTGATCAATGAAGCTTACAGATCTCACATGGTCTTATGATGGACATAAGCCCAAAAACCCATTTCAGCATGGCCATGAAAGTAGATTAGGCAGCTCATTCCCAGTACTGATAGCTTCAGATCTGAGCCATCTCGAGCTTTTCCAACTGTAATTAAAGGTCACACCTATAAATATCAGAGTGATTAGCCAGTTTTGGATAACCAGAGAGGAGGCTCAGGAACTCCAACACCAGTTGGAAATCTCTCACAAATCTCAGCAGACCCAGACCAAAGACCACAGGTGTTTTCCCTGTCCCTGCTACATGACTGACTCCTGATTCCTACTCAGATTGAGAAATCCCATAATTCATGCTACACTTGCAAAGCAACTCAGCAAGAGTCATCCTTTCTGTCCTCTGGGCTCTACCACATCATGCCAGATAAAGCTTAAGCACTTTCCCTTACTGAAGAGAATTTGCTCCATTACTGGGAGAGCACTTATAACTGTGCAGGGAAAACCACTAACCAGACCTATTTTCACACTTGTCAGGTGGTTTAAGGTCTAAATACCTCCTACCCCATTTGGCTGAATGGTTTTAGTGGCTAATGCCATTATGTGGTCTGTGTTAGGTACCGCAGACCCCTCCGTATCTGGGTAACACAGCACTTAAAATAGCAATCAGCTGATGCTGCATCTTACCTTTTTTATTTGATCCTCTTTTAGCTTTGTGAAATGGAAAGCTAGCAAGTGGACAGCAAACATTTTCTTGAAGCAGATGGATGAGTCAGTAGTGACAGAGCTGCTGTGAATAACTCCAAAGCGACAGACCTTTATTCACGAAGCTGGAGCTAGAGAAACTTCAGCAGAGGCATTTTCCCCAGTGTAGAATAGCGGAGTTCCTGGGAAATTGAGTCCAGAAATAAATCCATCCAGTGTGATCGGGTCAGTGATTAAACTTCTGCCTCTTTGTATCACATCCCCCCCCCCCACCAACATCAACCCAAAGTCCCTCCCTCCCCAGCTACACACTTCATTGTGCCAGAGCAGGCACCTGGAGAGCTGCCAAGCTGAAGGGGAGAAAAATCGATTTTGTTACTGCCCCACTTGGGAATTGTTACCACTTCTCAATGCAGTTGCTACGCAGCCTGCCCCGCTTCATTCCAGGGGCTGACAGGCTCCCACCGCTGCTGCGTGCAGCCGAGTGCTGCAGGGAATCTGCAAAGTTAAAGGTTTTAGGAGACTTCTTCCCTCTGCTCAGCGCTCCCACTTGTGAGACAAGCTCTTCTGCATGAATTAACTTCACTCTAGTTCTGCACATGCACCCTTATCTGCAGCTTTGTACCAATTAAGCTTCAGCTGTGTAAAAGAGCAGAGACACACAGACCCCGGCCCCCAGCTGGAATGCCTCTTGCGCAATTCCCAGCAGAAAGGTTTTGAACTGATTCTTCTCCCTTCACCCACAGCTTCAGGCCAGTGAAGATCCTCAGTACTGCAAAACCTGGGGAGAGGACAGATTTACCTGGCAGGCAGCACTGTGGGTATCAGACTGCACCACTGGAAGAATGCCTTTAATTGGCAGCACAGAGCACCTACAGCAAGAGCAGCTTCCTTAACACCATCAGATTTCGACTCAGCCTTGAACCATCACTCTCAAATTCATTCTGAACACACAAGTGTTTCCAGGATTTTGTCACTGTATCAAATGATATGGACTATGGAAACATCATCCAAAGAAAGCTGGGCGAAATGCTGACACAAAGGAGAGGGGGAAGAAAACCCAAGAAGGCATTCCCATGGGGTAATTAGAGGCTCATTCTCAAACTACACCTGCGTACAGTGTGTTTACACCCTGCTCAGCTGGACTGACCACAGTTACTGCAGACAATTGTCACCCTGAATTCTGCAGAACAAGGTAACAATTAAAAATTATTTTGACAGATTAGCAAAACAGCAGGGGGAGAAGAGGAAAGGGGGAGGGGAGTGTCAAGTAATGTGAGGAAACACAAAGAACTGCTGAGTGGTAGAAAACTGTCTAGAGATACAGAGGGATCCAGAGGCAGCTAGCCAGTAGAAAGGATGTCTGGCTACATCAGTTCATAGCCTAGAGTGGACCCAACAATCTCATGCTATTATAAAAAGGAAAAAGTACAACTGATCATGGTGGGCTGTATATACAGTATAGTCCACAGGCACACAAACCAAGACTCAACTCCATACTCAGCACCAGTCTTGGAAAGAGGACTCTTTTCCAAGGCACGTCAAGAAGGCAGGGATCAGAAGGAGTTAGCTCTGCTGAACATCAGGAGCAGCCACAGGTCACATATTTTCAGCTTCTGATCATGCGGAAAGACTGAAAGAGCTGAGGGAGGGGAACTCCCTCTGCAGAGACAAATCACACAGAACCTGTGCTAGGAAAAGTCTTTTTCTTTTTTTCTCCTGCCTTGCATCAGGGATGAGCTCTGGACTCTGGGAGATCCTGCCAGCTCTATTTATTTTCCATTATTCTAGAACAAGAGTAAAGCAGACAGTGGCTGAGCAGTCCATAAATAGGGCTTGTTCTAAAATTAGGCCTTTGATCTTCGAGAGAAAGAGAAAAGAACGAAGAAAATAAGCCACACTACCAGCCAGAAAGCACGGTTCACTTCTCGTCTATTCATCTTTTAATAACTGCTGGCTCGTTAAGTCAGACACTGACTCCCAAAGGGACTGTCTCTCTCCTCATTGTTTACCCATGCCACCCGAGTCACAACCCCTCTGGCCAGCAAAATTGAAAACATCACCTTTCAAGCTCCATCCCACTTTGATCCAGAGCTCATTGTGTCTGTAATACAGTAGATTTATTTTTCATTCTCTCTTTTCTTTCTTTCTCTGACGGACACCACTGGAAAAGGGTCTCAAAGATCTGAATGTTCCCTAAACTGGCAGCAGGCTCTGTGAAATACCTGACGTGTCAGAATCACTGCGTAACTTGTTCTCTCACCCCGGGCGCATCCCAGCTTCCGGCAGGCTGTTGTGCAAGAAAAGACAAGACATTATCTCATTTCCACACAGACAGCAGTTCACTGTACCAAGTGCCCAACACCCAAAAGTGTTACAGCTATTTTGTACATATCCTGGCCAGGAGAGGAGAACCAGCCCAGGCCCAAGTGAACAAATCAGCTCCAACTGCATGCAGCTTGGAAGCTTGAGGAGATGTTTTTCCCTTTTTTTTGAGCTGCAGTCAATAAAAGTTATTCACAAACCTTTCCTCCCCGCTTTGCAAAGGCCAGCAAGACTTTAAAATTGTTATGCCCCCCTCTCTACTTTCTTCTCCTGCAGCTCTGCCTCCAAACCCCATCTCACAATGGAAAATCCTGAAGAGTCTGGTGCTCATCTGCCTCCTGCAGCCTTGCAGTCAAAGGCCTGCTGAGAAAAGGAGCTCAGCTACAGTGGGGAAACTCACAAAAAAGTCAAGTACATCAGCTAAACGTGCCCTTGTTACCTCCAGAAAGAGATACCCCGTAGCAATAAGCATTTTATTGCGAGAAACTCATCTATTTTTGGTGAGGTATAACAGGCAGCAGCAATGCTGGCTGCTACATTTGGTACCCAGGTTAACAAGGAGACAGTGGACAAAGCTACTAGCAATTCATCAGGGGAAATCCTTCTTTTTTATAGTTTATGATTCCAAGACCAATCCCTAGAACACATTCCCCCTTCCCTGCAGTAGCAGCAGGTTCATTCCCCATTATACTCCCGTAAGTTCATCAAAGCTCAGGAGAGAAAGGGGTCCCCATATTCATTCTTCCTGCATATGCCACTCTTAGTGCAACATCAGCGTATAAAGTAAGGCAGAACACCTGAGAGGACTGATGGGAAAAATCAGAAGAGATGGAAATAACACAGACAGAACAGAGCATGCTGGGCTTAAAAGAAAGAAGGATTTTACCAAGCAGTGCTGCTACAATCAGCATTTTGCATCTGAAGGACAGCAAATAAACAATTAATGAATAAACTTCCAAACATCTCTAATTTCAATGCCTGAAATTAAAATGGAAATCTGAACACCTGACACAGTTTTGCAAACGTGGCTCCCAGATCAAGAGTACAGCATTGTTGTTGCTTAAAAATAAAGCTTCAGCACAGCACCACAAGGCAGGTTAAAAATGGGTAGTTGGGGTAACTCTGCACCACACCAGCCCAGATTGTACCACATGGGACCAATCTGGCAGCCATTCTAATGGGAGTCAATGACAGCCACACCATTAGCTCAGAAGAAAAGAAAACTTTCATAAAGTCAGCCTGGAAACGCCTGAATAAACTTCAGAGCTTCTAAAACAGTTACTATGGAGTCACTATGGAAACAAGCAGTGAGTTAAGCAAAGTGCTAATCTCAGCAAAATACAAAAAAGAATGCTTATAGTCATTTAGCTTCTTTATTGCAAGGCTTGGTGCTGAAACACAAGGCTGGCTTATACCCTGAAGTCCCAGACACTTTTTCCTTGCTCAAAAATATATGCTAGTACTCAGCTTACCGTATGATTAAAGGATAAATTCAACCTAACAGAAGCAAAGTGCAGTATCAATGTGGGTCTCACACAGACTGGGCAGGGAAAACCAGAGTTGCCCATGGTGGACAGCCAGGGTTGGTTTCAAACAGTGGCTTGTGGATCCACCCTGGATCTAGGGAAAGTGCAGTCCCAGGGGTAAGTGGGACAATGCATGTGGTCAAAATGTGCCTGCAGGCTTGAGCAACTCCTGCTTCCCTTCCAGTGAGTGCCAAGGAGGCAACTGATACCACTCCATCACACAGCCCACCTCACACAAGCTGTGTGATAGTAGCTAATGCAACACATTTGTAAGGGTTAATGGAAGCTTGCACCATGCGAGCGGTGCTGCTGTTCAACAGCAGGACTCCAGGAAAGCAAAGCTGAACTACTCATCTGCAAAGCAGAAAATCCACAACACTCACATGGCCACTGCCACACACACAGAGCTGCTTGGTTTTTCTTGGAGCAGGAAAAAAAGATGTGGCTTTTTCCCTAAAACTTTCTCTTCCCACCAGTATTGTACTGAAACCAGCAGGAGATCATGTGGACTAGAAACACACGCACTGCTTGCTTTTCAGTAAACAATGAGGAAAGAATACATGAACTACACTGAAAACAGCTGTAAAAACATTATTCAAACTGCTGCAGATTTCTTTCTGAACAGCAGCATAAAGGAATGATACCAGGAGAAAGGGAAGGGGATTCAGAGCAAACTTTCAGCCTGCAGAGAAACACAGCTGATCACTTCAGGAAGTCAGGCATTTGATAGTCAAACTCCAGCTGGATTTTAAAGGTTTCCCAACATTAACACAAGGAGGACCTGTGCACTTGTACACAGCCAATCCCAGATACATGGCAAGGGCAGCCCAGCAACATGTGCAAGTGCTGAAACCCATTTCTGTAAATACACAGCAGTTTCAGCATCTGATTCTTTCCTCGCTCCAGTATCCATACTGGGAGCTCAAAAGCATACCTTAAAGGTGCTCACATGAAAACCAAATCGCACAGCATCATAATTACCCCTCAGATTCCAGAACTGAAATTCACTCCAAATTCCAAATCCACTCCAAAGCCAGAATTCCACCGCTCCTGATATATTACCACAAATGCTTTTCACCTCCTTCCACATTTTCACGGGACACAATGGTTAGAGGCACATGACTTCTATCACCATTCTGAGCCAATTTTGTTCCAGGCTGTTCATTACCTGTTTGTGGTGTCTCAAACTCTGCC